GATAGATAGAAACATAGAGACACACACACACACATATATATATAGAGAGCAAATAAGAGATAATAATAATAATAATAATAATAATGATAATAATGATAATAGAATGAATGCGACAAAGGAAATAGACACACAGACAGATAGATATGAAAATATTCTTAATCATATATATATATATATATATATATATGCGAGAGAGAGAGAGAGAGAGAGAGAATCTTATACAGTAGATAGATAGAAAAAAGAGTCAAATAAAAGATAATAATAATAATAATAATAATAATAATGAAATAGAATGAATACGAAAAGAAATCAATAATATATATATAGATATATATATATATATATATATATATATATATATGAAATAGAAAAATACTGAACGAAATATCAATTATATATATATATATATATATATATATATATATATATATATATATATATATATATATATATATATATATATATATATATATATATATATATATATATATATATATATATATATATATATATATATATATATATATATATATATATATATATATATATATATATGTGTGTGTGTGTGTGTGTGTGTGTGTGTGTAGTGCGGCACCTTGCAGTGGTGTAAGATTGATTCGATGGAATAATTATGAGTTCGATCTCCACTGGGTGCTCAATAATTTCGGCCTTGTGACACATCTAAGCTACGCTTGGAAAATATATATATATATATATATATATATATATATATATATATATATAGTGAGAGAAAAAGGGAAATAGAGTTTAGTGGGGGAATAAGAGAAACTGAAGCCTCAGAATACACTGACGGTAAACAATGACAATCGTGTTTCTGTCGAGGCAAATATAAACAAGTTGATTGCAAATAACTTCGCTCGGGAAATCTGATGTCAGCCGACACTCGATAAACTCCGAAGCGGAAATAGAAAGACAAAAAAGAACGAATGCGAGAGAGAGAGAGAATGAGAGAGAAAGAGAAAAAGAAAGAGTGAGAGAGAGACAAGCAGAAAGACAGAAAGATAGAGGGAGATAGACAGACAGGCATAGAGAAACAGAGATAGAGAAATAAAAAAAAAATAAAGGAAGAAGAAAATAGAAATGATTTAAGTTAATGAATAAAAAAAAAAACATTCAGGGTACCTACCCGCATTCCTCCGACGGTACCAAGAATTAACACTCCGCAAAATAAGACAAGAATCCATTTCGTCGTGTACCACATGGTCGGTGTAGATTTGTACAGACTTCCAGTCCGAGAGAACATCTGGGGGTGGTTGTAGGTGACGATTTCAACTAAACCCTCCACGTGTGAGCGTGTGTGTGCTTGTGTGTTGTAAACCAATCCACGCGTTTAAATGAAAGCTGGTTTCACATCCCAGCTGGTTACTCACATATATATGCTTGTCTGCTCAATTAATAAATATTATTGTTTCATACATACATACATACATACATACATATATATATATATATATATATATATATATATATATATATATATATATATATATATATATATATATTGTTTATATATAGAGATGTGTGTGTGTGTCTGATCGTGCGTGTTCACGCATAAGTAGTATATATATATATATATATATATATATATATATATATATATATATATATATATATTTATTTATTCAGAGTAAAACTAGTCTGTCACAAGGTTCCCAGTAATAATTTCTGATAACTTTGTGCCTACATCTTCATATATCTGAATGTACACATGCTCTCTCTCTCTCTCACTCTCTCTCTCTCTCTCTATATATATATATATATATATATATATATATATATATATGTATATATATATACCTATCTATCCCAGATTCTTAATCTATCTATCTATCTATCTATCTATCTATCTATCTATCTATCTATCTATCTATCTATCTATCTCTTATTACCAATCTGTCCAACTCTCTCTCATCTCTCTATCTATCTCTCTCTCTTTCTATATCGCTTTCTCTCTCTCTCACCCTCGATATATAGCGATTTTATTAAGCGGAGCTTAGATGACGTCACACGGAGCCAACCGTGTAGAGCACACAGTGAGGATCGAATTCACTACTCAGATTTAATTGATCCTGTACTCAAAGTTTTCTAACCATTGTCAAAGTGCACAATCTATCTATCTATCTATCTATCATTAATTATTTATATATATATATATATATATATATATATATATATATATATATATATATATATATATATGTATGTATGTATATATCCACGTGATGTGGGGTAGATCGGTCCCTATCTATCTATCTATCTATCTATCTATCTATCTATCTATCTATCTATCTCAGTCTGTCTATCTATCTATATTTAATATTCTACTTGTGCCGAAATATCCATGCGTATATCTTAAAAGTGCATATTTATTTATATTTAATTATGTAGATCGATATATAGAAAGTTAGATATAGATATACATATATATATATCGATAAACACTCTTTTAAAGAAACTATTTAAAATGAATTATGAAATAGGACAAGCATATACGAAGAAAACTGAATATACATATAAATAAATATATATGTGTGTGCGTGTGTGTGCGCGCGTGTATCTATACGAATAATATTGAAGTTTCTATTGATTGCTTTAAAAATCGAATACTTTAGTTTAGACACGTGTGTGTGAGTCGTTTTGAAATGTAGATATTTATATCGTTCACACTTGTAAAAATATAAATGATCAGCTATTTTTGGCCTTTCAGCTTTGTCATCACTTGTCTATTTATAGATGTTCTGTTAATTTGTTTCAACATTTCTGGTGTATAAACGGTCTTATTTCAGTGAATATTTTCGAAGTTTAACTTAGTCCCGATATAACTGACTAAAGCTTCTTTATTTTGTTTTTCAAAATCGGTGTGTGTGCGTGTATATATATATATATATATATATATATATATATATATATATATATGTCTCTCTCTATTTCTCTTTCTCTCTTTCTCTCACTATATATATAGATATATATGTATATATATTAAACGAATATAATTTTATATCCAGCTTGTGGAATGAATACAGGTAGAGCTATATATGTTTGCATCGTATGGGCTTGTAAACGTATATAATATTTTGTATGTTACGTTTTGCAATTTAAAGTAAGCTAAAAAATTAATTCCACGTGTATATCTGTCAATGTCATGGTTTTAAATCGTATGACGTCATAGATTCAGCAAAACCATAGAAAAAAAAAAGGAAAAGAAAAAAAAGAGTGAGTGGGAGATTAAGAAAGAGAGAGTAAGAGAGAGAGATTAAGAGGGAGAGGGAGAGAGTAAGCATAACAATAAGAGAGAGGGAGAGAAAAGAGAAGGAATATGAATATGTTCAGTTATCTGTTTGTGTGTGTGTGTGTGTGTGTGTTTGTGCGTATTTTGGAAATAACCAGTGCGTGTTTCTCTTGCAGTGTGTGTTTCCGTGTTGATAAAACGTCACGCGCACGTGACCAGAAAGTCCCGCCCGATCGAAAGAAATCTTCCCTCAATGTGGCGAGGATGTCGGCTTCAGGAAGCGCTATGCACTGCGTTCGCGCATATGATCGGCAAGCTACCGGTGTGTAAGATCGTGTTTGTACACATGTATTGCGTACACCTTTCCTCTCTCCATCTGGTTTCTATATTGTTACGGCAAAAACCGAGCTCTGAGTGAATGAGAGCGTGTGTGTAAGCGTGGATTTAACAGTTAAAGTTCACTGGAAGTTTCCTAAGCAGGTAAATTGGATCTATCTATCTATCTATCTATCTATCTATCTATCTATCTATCTATCTATCTATCTATCTATCTATGTCAGTCTGTTCACATCTATCTATCTATCTATCTATCTATCTATCTATCTATCTATCTATCTATCTATCTATCACAGTGTTTTCATATCTATCTATCTATCTATCTATCTATCTATCTATCTATCTATCTATCTATCTATCTATCATAGTGTTTTCATATCTATCTATCGAAGGCTACGCGTATCTGTTAGTGGGGGAACGAATTTACTAATCATTTATATTATTCTATTATCAATTATAATTGATCTAGTGCGACAAGCTTGCTAACCAGTGACGCTATATATATATATATATATATATATATATATATATAGTTACACCTACCCGGCCATATCTCAATTAGGATATGTAAAGAAGACAAAACAATCTAAATCCACCAAAAATATACTAGTACAAAGAACAAGTATAATAGCCTCACACGCGTATAAAAAAAAACATTCAAAATAATGAAAGCCCGAATAATAAAAAAAGGAAGATCCAACTCAACTATGATCACGTCCACAATCTGATGACCTTGTTCAGAAAATAAAATATTCCTGTAACTTTACACAAATATTTAAAAAATCTACATATTTAGTTAAAAAAACAACAAAAAAACAAAACAAAGACAAAACAAAACAAAACAAACTCGGATATGCAGACATTTTGAACAGTTTTCACAAACTTTTTGTCCAGAAAAGAAAACGCTTCCCCATCACATGAAAAATGAAATACAAAGCTTAATAGCTATACATTGTGAATATGATTCATGGATATATTTATATATGTTTATCCTTGGAACAATATCAAAGAATTCTCAATTAAATATATTTGACATCTGGATATTTAATTTAATCCAATTTTGAGAACTATATTATAATATCTATATCTATATATCTATATATCTATCTATATATATATATATATATCTATCTATCTATCTATCTATCTCTATATATATATATATATATATTTGTGTGCGTGTC